TTGTCTGCTTAACTGTTTAATTGTACGCAAAAATCAGAAGAATCTCAATCATAATTTACCTTGTGAAGACAAGAAACAACTAATGTCGAGAAAAGCTGCCAAATCAGACTGGGGAGAAAATGGATCAAACAGGCTGGAAACAGTGACCCGCCACGAACCGCGTCGCTACCCTTGCCGTCCTAATCAACTCACCGGATGACGACTGTACATACTGCAGTTGTATTACCGTAGCGGTTATTGGCAAGATGCTACGGGAAACTCGTCCGAAATTGTTTTGAGTCATTAAGAACGAAGGCTTTTCTTCGCAGGTTTTTGACCGTTTCACCTCGTTCTTCGCCATTTTGCCACTTTATAGCATATCGCGGATTCGCGGTTTCCTTGACCGCTCCTCGGCAGAACTCTCAAATCAATCGCGACGTGATCGCGCGCCAAAGTGCACTATAAAAGGGGATCAAGGTTCAATGAGGCCAGCCTTCTCTTCGATTCTGTTGATTACTCCTTCCCGTGATTTGTCCCTATTCCGATTAATCTTGCAAATTGCTCGAGCATTTGAAGAATGCGAGCTTTCGAAATATTTTTTGTACTGTCGTTATTATGCGACCCCATTAAAGACTGGTTTTGACGTTTGCGATGATGCGAGTTGTGAAGTGATTGTTCTTCCCTCATATATTTTACGATATTTCTGAGGGTTTGTACTATGTTAAGGTTTTGTTGAGGTCAGTGCTTACTACTATGTAGGTCTCGCCGTTAATAGTTGAATGTTAATTTCGCTGTATTATTGATGGAACTGGTAAACGTCTAATTACCCAATTTTGCGATCATTCTTCGAGGTCTCAGCAGAGTTGTGTCTGCCTACCATGAAATCTTAACCAGCGATCATTCCAACTTATGGCACCCTGCTAGCATTTCCGAACTAGTACCAAATTGCCGTACCTTATGCGTTCAATAGAACTTATTTGGTGTTCTTTGATTTGCCAGTTTAGAATTCCATGGGATGAATGGGTCAAAACAAATGGATTGTGTTATGCGCTACCATCAATTCATCATGTATAGTTAAATGGAATTTTCTATGAACTTCTGTTTTCTACTCCTCTGGACCGGTTCGGATGAAATTTGCATGAAATGATAACTTAATTTCTCTCGGCAAAATCCCAGTAAAAGATGATGTTATAGTGTTGTAATGTGAGCCGATGGTTGAACACTATGAATTCGACATGGGACAATCATTGTAGGGTAAGGACCCCTCCTAAATATGTTGCACTTTATTTTGCGGGTTTCTTGAGCAAATTCTGAGAGTAAGATGGATAGAACTGCTTGATCCCCCTGAATTCTACCACGACGGCCAAGATTTCATCACGAAGATGCATATTCTCTTGCGGAGCTAGTCCTCCACCGGCTTCACGAGGACTTCATGACCAATGCATTAGTCGTGTGTTTTAGAAGGGTGATGCGTAGAACGTTTATCAAAGCGGTGTAATGTTTTGAGTGTCGTCTTCTTCGAAGGCTCATGGTTCAATCTTTTTGGGGAAAACCCCTACGACATCACAGGGTATATGGCAGGTTATTATAACCGGTAGCGTTACTGAGGTTCATGGCACGGGATGCGAGAGTGACCATTACAACGGTGTGAGTGAAAGGCACGGGGACGTATGTACAGATTTGTTCGCTGCGAATGAAGGGGCGTGTCAGTGAGGCTACGCTGGGAGCGCTGACAGCCCGTAAGAAAAAAAAGGGCTGGCCCTGCGACGGACGCATCCCCCCCCCTTATAGGCCCCGCTGCGAGCAACTGCTGCGACAAGGCTCTACAAAAAAGGAGATCCAGCACGGGACTACGCAGCCCTCACCTCCGTCGCCTTACGATATGGAAAGTAACCAAGTAAGAATTATAGTGGTAACTCCCGTTTATGTAGGATGGTTCTATCCTTGCATGAAAGATAGTAAAATTGCCCGTTCTCAAGCACTCCCTGGAAAACTAATCGCCCAGGCACCATCCACTGCAGTAGTCCTTTCAGGTAATACTCTCCTCGTAGGGTCCAGCAAATGCATTCAGCGGCGTACCTTCGGAAATGCACACATAGCAATTCCTTGAATGGGTAATGTGGGGAGCCTCGAAGGAGAAATAGAAGGATTTTGAGTAGAACCTCACTGAAGTCAAGCTCATGACTGAAAAAGCTATGGCCATGGTTAGCAGAAATTGGCTGTGCACAAGAGGAACGGGGAAAACGGCACGCTGGTGAACCTTGGGTGTTTCAGGGGACTGGATTTGGAGTGGTGCCAAGTTGTTATCTACCAACTGTGATCGTCTGCAACCTCTTATAAGTGGTGGTGAACAGGCTAGCGCTGCGCCAAATCCAGCCTCCTGAGAGCTCCAGCTTCCGCAGATTATGTGTAGATGAGAGTTAAACGTCCAGCGCTCACAGTCCTTTGCTTCTATGATGTACTGCGGACCTCCTCAAATGTTGAAGTGCAGTTTTGCGAGAAAGAAAATGAAGGGAAATTTTTATTTCCGTTGCACTTCGCTGGAATGTTCTGGGTTATGAGTTCAACGGGCAGAAAATTCCTTTCGCAGTCATTGTGACCTGCCCATACATTGCTTGCAACCGTAGATCTCGCAGATCTTCATATAGTCGAAAGGCGAGGCGTCATCGGCGTTACCGATCACATCCTGGAATTGAAACATCGTCAATCATTTCTAAAAAGCGGAAATTGAAGCGCCTCCAGTGTTGGCCAACTAATTTTGGAACGCGCCATACATCCTACTTCAGACTGTACCTCTTGCACAGTTTCATGTCTAGTCACTGCTCTTTGGAAAGGAAGTGAAATCACCTGAAATTCCGGATTTTTGGTCCGCATGCTGATTTTATTTGACTCCGCGAAGGCCCGCTGTCCATAATGCATCACAGACGTATAAGTATACGGTACATTGTAAGTGGTAGCCTTGGACGGTGACACTTTCGTAAATTGATCGTGGTATTCTTAACATTTTTCATGTACACTACTCGATAATTTCCGTATTATCTCAGATTTTAAACTGGCCAATCGTATTATTTATTTATCACTGACCACATTCGCTTGATCCAGTTTAGGACGACTTCATTATTTCTTGCAATCAAGGCCGCTCCTCCCGCTTGGGAAAATTCTGGCAGCAGACAGAGTACAACATCCTCGGAATTTTCTGCTTTGGTTATAGAACCTCTCCTAATCCCTCTTTGTAATGGATTCTGGTCGCAATGGAACTTAGAACATCAAGCCCAGACCAGTGAAGGGAAAAGGGGTTCCGGTGTACGTAAATCCCAATTTCAAACCTGTTAGCCGGATAAAAATATGGTCCAGTTTGCAATTTTCTAATGCCCCTTTGCCGAGTTCATTAGCGCCCCCTTCCCCCTAATCATTTGCCGAGCTAAAAAGCATACCTAAGTACTGAATGGTGAAACCAGCACTCTAATTTCATTTTCAAAGTTTCAAATTCTTCTCAACAGCATCAATCTGACCTTGTATCTTATATTTTCAAGGATTTTAACATCGATATAGTTGTGTCGCGATCGTATCTCGAGGTGTTCATTTTGAATAAGCCAATGACATGCCATCAACGGTCGTGCATAAGCATGTAGCCGTCATCATGCATCTGATACAATCCCAATACTGAGGGAAAGTAGGGACGTTTCCCAGGGTCAGCGTTCATGATTTTCGCGACGGGCTGTGCGACGCTTCGGTCGCGCCGGTCGATGGCATCGAACAGGCATAGCGCATCGATCGGCGTCGGACGCTGCGATGCAGGATCGCCACCGCGTCGAGAAGTCTGAACAACCTAGGAGAAAGTGCCAGAAAGTGATATGCGACTTCTTTCCAGAGTTTCAAGCAGATAGTGTTTCGTAATGAGAGCTTCCGACTGTTGATTCCGCCCTCAAAAGGGACATGGCGCAAGCCCCGATGAAGGAGTAGTATTAGAGTAGTACTTGAATCGAATCGGCAGTACACGACCCAGATGAGAGTCGAACGTACTTCGGAACGCTTCGCTAGTTACCACGACACCAGACGTGGCCCCAGAAGAGCTTGCGTTTGTTGAGCTTTGAAAGGATAACGCAAGAAAGATTCCGATTATAAGATCGTCATTGTGCGCTTCAAGTGCGCACAGATCCATGAAAATATTGTTCTGACGGAAGTTGTAAGGGACGCCTTGTGAAGCACCGGGAGGCGTGCATTGAACCTCCAGGGAGCGTTTACGTCAGGAGATATGGTATTATTAAGAACTCCTTGATTTCGAGTCGTTCGCGTCTGCCGATGATATGAGATGAAAGTCGCGAAGAGTTCTGGATGTCGGGAAGGCAACGACGTATTTCATAGCTGTTAGAGATGAGAAGGGGGGGTATCGTAGCGGGAGGGAGTGCACGCCGCACTTTCATTTCAAACATTTCCGAGTGGTTTGTGCAGGGTTTCGGCTTCCGGCGGCGCCATAATGACCTGCTATATATGGTTATAAATACCAGAAGGGTCACGCATTGTGCCTAGCGCCTCTGTAGGGACCATAAAGCATAAACTTACGTTTGCATTTTTGCTCGATTCCAGTTGCACAACACTTCGACCACCAATACGTCCGACATTCGTATAGCATCTGAAATCACAAACATCATCTCAGTAGCATTCTCGTAAAAATTCCCTGCTCATTTTCAATCTTCAGTCTTCAGACGTATTGATGTCCTTTTCAATGCAGTACTTCTAACGGGGCAGTTCTGCGACGGAAGGGGGAGGGGGGCACTCTACACTTTTGCTACTCCATCGACGTGTCGGATCATCTAGAGAGCTATTTCGTGAGTTGACAAGTTCTATCGTGGTGGTTCGCTCCAGCTTTCACAAGAGCTCACAGGTTTCACCAGAGTGTGAATTTCAAATCGGAACTAATGAGGCAGCGAATTTGCAAGACCCCCACCCATCCGTCGCCAAACTGCGCACTTTTAACTCACCCTTCGCCTTCTTTGTTCACCAAATCGATATAGTCCTTTTCATCGTTCCGTTCGGTGAATCGAATACAGGTGTTCTTTTGCGATTCGCTTCATCGCTTCAGCTATCGCGTCTTCTTCAGTAGGTTCTTCAAAATCTCTATTATTAAGAAGAGACACCAATTGTTTGCCTGTTCTGTTCATTTCTTTCTTAATGTCGAATCTGGTTGTACTACATTGATTGCAGCATACATATTATAAGTGACGACGCTGCAATTAATATGGGGCGGAATAAGCTCGCCTCGGGCTACCTTGCTCCGCCAATAGTGATCGGTTAGTGATCGACTGCAGTGGTGGAAACAGCCAGTGGTGAAAACGCAGCGGGTGTGCTCATTCCATCCCTCTCGAAACTGCCCGACTAATTGCGGCGTTATCAGTTGTGCGCATTTCCCCACGGTTGTACGATGTGTTTCGGTCCATATCTGAGGGGAAACAAGAGACGTACCCGCAAGGGTTCGGATGAAGGAGAGGAACAGATGTGTGTATAAGCAACGCGCCACTCCTCACGGAAATTCGCACCCGTCGTTAGAACGCCCCTTATTAAGCTCTGATAAGAACGACTTCTCAAACTCACTAAATGGTCCTGTAATCGTGTACGGTATGCGGATGTTCCCATCTTCGTCAGTAAGAATCCATTTCAGGTCGGAATTATTGTACAGGGCGTTGTACACTTTCCTGAAATGCGAGATTTTTCTATTGATTAATCGAGCCAGATTTCAGATGGAACCACATGATTTTCTACCGAATACAACAACTATTGGAACATACGTGCCATTCTTCTTCAGATTGCGAAGTTGCAGGATATCCCCTTCACCAGGATCATTGAAGATGTCTATTGGTTTGGCCTGTAATATTTCATTACTTCCAGTTAGCTACTTTTAGACCATTTCCTGACGTCTCGACATTACTTGGCAACTCTTGCCCCTACCCCGGTGAAATTTACGGAAAAAGAAAATTATTTAGTCAAGAATGTCCCTACCCCTCCTATACGACAAGAAGGGGAACCAACAGTTGAATGCACACTCCAGACCGGTCTCCACGGTGGAATCTTCTCAACTCGTGTGCCTTCTTCGCCGGTGTACAATGGTTTTCTGAGACGGTGTAAAGGAGAGGCACATCAATGGCGAAGCGCAATGCTAGGCTCCAACAACATACAGTCTTGTTCGCAGCGGATGCAGAGTCGTGTCAAGAGGGCAAGGTTTGGCCCGATTCTCCACAGTTCGCTGTCGCTTACCCGCTTCAACAGGGGTAGAGAACGGGGCTGGTCGTGCCAATCTCAGCCACCTTGACGCGGCCCATCCTCAGCGAACAAGACTCCATGCGATGACTTGTAAAATGTGCCTTGAAGAAGTATGGAATGAAACTAACTCTTGCCCAAACCACTTGAACAACAGCGAGTGTGATGAGTAGATGGCCAAGCATGGGGAAGTTGACGAGGACACCTGTAAAGTTATTTATGATTTGTACCACAGTATCTGAACAAATTTTAAGTTCAAATGAGAGCTTGGAAAAAGAGTAATCCGACAATTTGGGTAGCTCTTGGAAAAACGTCTTACTAGCGACTGAACTGACTTCTTGGCTATGCGAAGTCAAAAGCCAATCGCCAAGAAGAGACTTACAGGTGACTATGAAGGTTATACCATCTTTAGCTGGGCAGGCCCTCTCGGATCAGTCTGTTGAGTTGAAGCAAACCAGAGAACTTGGCACCTTTATGTTATGCCCTTACTGTCCCGCCATTTTAGACGTGGTCTTTTTTCCGAAACACTACCCTCGGAACAATTTTAACCCCTCGAGAACGCCTCAAAGGTGCACTGAGTAAGAAGAAGCAAGCAAAAGCATTTCTGACATTAGAGGAGCTTGCGATCGCAAAGCGAACTTTGTGAGAGCACGCCTCCCTCTGAGCAGTTCGACCCTTAAATTCAGGCTCTTGGGAATAGTCCCACAGTAACCACTGAAATAGCGCCCAGTGGGCTGCTGAAGAAAAAGCCTGAACCTTGTGAACCTTGAATTATTTGTCTCTCACAACACAGTTGTTTGGTAACAGAGCTTCAGAAACCATTGATGATGCGTCATCATGGTCGACTGCTCCTGATGGCAAAAATAAACGTTGTGTCATAGAAATGACTTCAGACCTATGCTACAGTAATCGCATAGGGAATTGGAACCTACCACGGGGAAGCACGCATGCAACACATCCTCTTGGTACCGCTCGTAAGACACGGTGAGGGTAGATGGGAGTTGGCTCATATAGATTCGGTCTGTGGAGCAGTTGTTTACTGAAACAACTTCAACGTGTGAGTGCTGTAAGCCTATGGTACGAGAGCCATTGAGCTGAGAGGGTAAGAGAGCAACCTGAAGTGCAATAAATAGCACTTTCGCTTGATCAGGTGTTACTACAAGTCCCGTTTGGGACCTGATTTTTGCCCTTAGCTCAGCATTCTTGTGATGGCTCGGCACAACTCTGTTGCAACTTTCACGCCATTCAATTGTTTTGCTATTTGCAGCAGGTGTTGTGGAGAGAAAGATTGCCTTAGGTACTCTCAACGGTCTTTGCTGGACTGTAAAAAGTTTTGCAAATACTTTCACCTCTGAGAAAACTGCTGTTAAAACATTAAGTGGCTGTTAATGGGGCGTTTTTATGAAAACACCCACGTCATCAAGAATATGTGTTCACAAGATCGCCTCGAACCCTTCGCCTCACCAATTTCATAGATGAACAAACACTGCGTGGGAAGGAACTGAGGTCCTCACTCTCAGTGTGAAGAAACATTGCTCCGTCACTTTCGCAGTGAAATCCTATGCGGTTCGGTTCTCTTCGACACGGGCTAGTAAGAACAGTCGGCACGATGAACCTTGGACACGAGTGGGGATTAATACTTCTGGCAGGACGGAATTTCGCGCAGACTCTGCGTAAGGCCTTTTCCAAGAAAGGTACCTTCATAGGGTCCCATCAAGCTGCAATATACTGACCCAAACGTCCACTGCGCCTGTCCGCCCCCAAATAGACGACCGTCCATGATTCTCGTACATCTTCATTTCCGAAGTTCAATAGGAAGAACGGGTTGATATGAAGCGGCCGCGTTGCTGCACGGAAAAGGAGTACATAGACGCAGCCGTATCTACCATAGCGCTTATTAGCAAGAAGCCTACGGGAGACTTTTCCGAAATTGTTTTGAGTCGTGAAGAACAAAGCTCTTCTTCGCAGATTCTCGAGCGCTTCACCTCGTCTCTTCGCTTTCGCCCACTTTATAGCATATCGCGGATTCGCGATTTCCTTGATCGCTCCTCGGCAGATCTCTCAAATCAGTCGCGGATTGATAGCGCGCCAAGGTGCTCTATTAAGGGGCGAGCAAAGCTCAGTGAGCCCAGTCTCCTCCTCGATTCTTATTGATAACTCTTTCTTGATTTCTCAATATTCTCTCTAATTACTCTTACAATTTGTGCGGGCTTTGAAGAATTATTTGTACTCTTGCAATTATGCGACCCTACTAACGATTTGTTTTGAGTTTGCGATATATGATGCGAGTTGCAAAGTTATTGTTGTTTCTCATTCGTTTTCCAATATTTCAGAAGCTCTGTACTCTGTTGAGGTTTCGTTAAGGTTACTGCTCACTGTTATGTTGATGTCACCGCTGATTAAATGTTAATCTCATTGTGTTATTGAAAGCCTTTGATTGCCCACCCAAGTTTGAGATCATTCATCGGGGTTTGACTAGAGTTACGCCCGCCTGCTATGAAATCTTAACCACCGATCAACCCAATTTGTGGTACCCTGCTATCATTTCAGACCGAGTACCAATTAGGTAACCTGTGATTTGATTCTAAGGTCCGACATTCAGGAAGGACTCAAACCCTGATTATAGACCTATTCGATAGCGTCATCTATTGCCATATGCCTTCAACAGAACTTATTTGGTAATCTGCACATTGGTAGTTTCCATGGGGTGTTTGGTCTAAGTCAGATGGGCTATATTATACGCTACCACCAATTCATCATGTATGATTGAATGAAATTTTCTATTTACTCCTGTTTTCTGCTCCTTTAGACCGGCTCAGATGATACTTGTGAAGAACTTGATAAGTTCATTTCTCTCGGCAAAATCGTACTAAAAGATGATGTTATACTGTTGCAATGTGAGCCAGTGCTTGAACACGAATTCGACAAGGGGCAATTATTGTGGGGTGATGACCCTTCCTAAATATGTAAGACTTTATTTTACGGATTTCTTGAGCACATTCTGGGAGTATGATGGAGCAGAACTGCTAATCCCCCTGAATTCTACCACGACGGCCAAGATTTCATCACGAAGATGCATATTCTCTTGCGGAGCTAGTCCTCCACCGGCTTCACGAGGACTTCATGACCAATGCATTAGTCGTGTGTTTTAGAAGGTGATGCGTAGAACGTTTATTAGAGCGGTGTAACGTTTCAAGTGAGACGTCTTCTCTGCCGCTATCGCGTCACAGTGCAGCGCGGCTGTGCCGCCCGGGTGTAGGTTAAGACTCCACGAGAGGTCACGGCTGCCATGTTTCGCCTCGCCGCGCGCGGCGATTGCTGCCGTGATTGGACGAGACCCATACAGTCGTGCGATTAAGATCCCGGTCCCTTCACATAGTTCTGGCATCACGCAAATCTGCTTGGCATTTTGCCAAACCAGAATATTCAATGGGACGTCAATATTTTTGAATGGCAGCTGTATTTATTCAACGGATTGCTGTATTTCTTTAATACAACCTACTTTTCCCGTCTGGCCGCAAATCTTAGGCCCTCACAATACCATGCAACAGGCCCTTACAATACCATGCAATTGAGGGCAAAAGAAGGAACCCTCCTAAAGTGAATTTTTGTAGATTGCTGATGTATTCTCTAAATATTATTTCTATGTAAATGGACGTTGTTTTATACTAATAGTTGAACATCGGGCCCACTCCTTTCATAGTTTTCACACCTGCAAGTAATAAAGCAGACTGTTGGAAATCTCATGGACTATGCAAACGCCGCGCACATAGCGAAAACTGCCGCGTCGCGGCGGCAGGCTGACCTCTCGTGGAGTCCTAACCGTTGCCCGTGCCGCTCCGACAGTACGTAATGGTGATGACTGTACGTTACAGCGAAAAAAGGGCTGGCGGTGCGACAAACCATCCTTCTCAATAGGCCCCGCTGCGAACACCGCTGCGAACAAGACTGTACAAGAGAGGAGAGTTAGTACGGGATTACACAGCCGTCGCCGAAATACCGTTTCTCGTCCTATGATATGGACTGTAACTAACTGCAGGGGGGGGGGGGGAAAAGAGTATTTTTCGGCGAGGCCCACATACTCAATCGCAAGTTTTTCGTCGCCGGCAGACAGGGGAAGTGGATATGAGTACCAGAGTGGAAGATACCCAAGATCTTCCTCTATAAGCTGGAGCAGGCTGCCGCCAATCGCCTTCATGTACGCCAAAATATGAAGTCATCTCCAGTGACGGCCTGACTGGAGAACACGCCTTTTGATTTTCAATACGATCGCCGTGTCCAAACAGCTGCGAAACTTCTTGAATGAAGTCATCCACAGATAGCTACCTGGAGGTCAGTACTCTTGATCTGCAAGACCTCCCACATCGAGCAGCTACGGCAACGTCGCTACGGTCTAGGACATCATCTTCACCGTATTGGCGAGGCGCGAGTTGATGGTATCGACGCGGAGTGCCTGGAAAGGAAAGAGCCGATGATTTTCTTATGTATAAACCGCCGACTGCAGGGAGCGGCTGGCGAATTATAAAATCAGATAAACATTCGAGAAGAATATCCTCCCTACATGTGGTCGCCCGTACCTTCTTGGAGACCTTGTGCTGCTACAGGTTTGGGTGCCACCACATGGAATCAAAGGGTTTTGGAAAAACTCCCGCCTACTTCGAATGGAAGGGCGTTTCGTACCTGAAGAAGATGTAATATTGAAGTATGTCCCCTGACCTGAACCCACTCAATTACCTAGTTCGGGCGGACTTCAAGAGGGTGGTCTA